CAACGGGAATCCAGGGCCAGATTAGCAGTTGCCTAGGGCCCCCAGGGCTAACAGAAAATTTTTGTTGAAAAAACAATTTTGAGTTTTGTGAATGAATAAAAAATATAATAGCCACTAATAAACATACAAATTAAACAACATAAAAGTTTTTATTTCAAATGAAAAAAGAAGGGAGCTGTCGTGAAAAAAAGAGCGCCCCAGATTGATGGTTGCCCAGGGCCCGGTTGAGGGTTGATCCGGCCCTGAATAGGTTGATTTTGGTTTTACTTTAAAATTTAAAGTTGTTATTTGTTTGTACTGTGTGTATTTACATTGGGGACTCAGGCAAAAGAGGTGGCAAAATTAAAAAATATTTTATCAACGCTTTGAATAAAATAAATGTACACATCTAGTAGAACATTTTCCAGAGCTTTAGCGAATCTAATTTTCAAGATAATTTTAGTTTAGGAGATATGGGCAGAGATATGATATGAAATGTATGTACATACATGTATTGTATAGTCTGTTTGGTTACGCAGCCAAATAGTGGACAAATGCATTATAGCCAATTTATTATTGTTCGTTGTTTGCACTGCCCACTGTACTAAATTGTCATCTACCTACAAACTCATGCACGCATTCATGCTCCCGCACGGCAGCAGCCTATGCAGCCGTTCTCTTTCGCCTCTTCATCCCGTGCCTTTCTTTCTTTCCTTTGCTTTGCTATCACTCTCTCGATCTGTCGCTCTCTCGCTCGCATTAGGGCACGGGCAATTCGGCCCGCCTGCCCTTTGAATTAGTCAGGATCTAGCAACCACTGCACATCGTCTTGGAATCGAGCTATTCAATCCGACACCGTCTTGTACCAACCCCCGCGTGTACAATCTGACCCCGTCTTGAATCCAGCTAACTCTCCAACCGACTCGTCATCAACCTGACTCGAACCTTTCGCTATCTCTTTGACTCTGTATCGCCTTCTATACTGCTTACAACAAAACTACGCTATTGAAAAAGCTCAGTAGCTCAACAGCAGGCTTCTCAGATGCGCATCGGACTCGTTTTCACGTTCACACGATACGTATGTGGTTTTTGTGATTGTCTTCTCAAACTACTGCTAATTTAGTTCATTACAATTACCAGTTTTTGGTATAATGATCGCTATGCATCTATTTGTGCTGCCATGGGTCTGCGCTTAGCCGAACAGGGGTTTTTGACATAAATGCAATGGCAATAATTTGTAGAATTTGTTTTTTAGTTTTGTTTTGGCATTTTGAAGCGATGCCACCTGGTAGAACTACAAATGTTTTCACAATTTGCACAATGAGCTCTTTTTTGTAATGCTTGTTGGACACGTTTCCTTCTCTGCGTTACACACATCCACTTTTACCACAAATCTAATATACCCCTTAACTCTTTTTTGAGTACGGGTATAAAAACCGAAATTCAGTTCAAGCGGAAAAAAAATGGTAGAGCCCACACGCAAGCATAGTATGTGTGAATACATGGCACACACACATTTACGTAAACTGAAAACGAAACTCAAAACAAACTCAAAACGGTTTCGGAAAATAAGAATTGATAAATAATTTGTCGTGTCTGTGTATAGAAAACACACTATACCAAGGAGAGAACATAAAATAAAAAACCAAAAAAAGTCTCCAAGAACCCCAACAAATTCAGGCCAGACCCTGTCAAATGCCTCCTGTATGTCCATATAGACTGCTGAGCAGTACATGTATCTCTCATACGTCTCAAGTATGAATTTCGTCACCCGTCCAATTTGCTGCTCGGCTGCATGCTCATGCCTGAAACCAAGCTGGTGGTTAGGAATCGCCTCAACAAATCCGTCCGCCTCCATCATCCTGGTCAGCAGGAGCCGATATATTCAGTTTGTTGGTCGATAAGCTTGCCTTGTCTATAACATTTATTGGTTCTTGGTCTGAATTTGCTGCATCAGAATGCAGCTGGTCTGAAATGGCAATATGTGAGTGCTGCTGATCTGTAATGGCAACACTTGAATGTTGCTGGTCTGTAATTGCAACACTTGAATGTTGCTGGTCTGCAACTGTTTTCTTCGTCAACTTTAGCTGAGCATGTTCCTGCTGAGAGCGGTGAGAGAGAAGCGAGGCTACGCCATTATGGAGAGATAATTTATTTCTTTGAGGGGGGCGGGGAAGCTTTTGGAGACTTTATGTGTTTGCGTTTGGGTATGATTGGTGGAAATCTCATCGTTGCGTGGAAGCGTTGGGGCGATGGGAGGCTCCTCCGTGCCCGCAGGAGAGGGAGTGCCGTGTTCGCCTGTTCCAAGCCTAGGGGGTGAATCCTGACCCCGTCCAAGCATCGATGGTGTTGGGGAATCTGGCAGTATCATTGAGGGGTGTTCCTCTTCGTCTTCCGAGCTAGATATTAGGGAGACGCACCCACCTGTCGGTTCTGAAGCATATGCAGCGGTCATCCCTTGTCCCTTGGTAGGGGGCACAATTGTAGCTTCCTTATCTTTTTTTTTTTTTTTTCATCAGTAATGTATATTTTTATTTGTCATTTTCTTATAAGCTCGATCGATTTAAAATGGTAATGTGTCACAATTTTGGTGGGGGCATGGGGCTATTTAGAGAGAAAAACAGCGCACACAAAGCTTCAACCATAACGGCCAATGGGCACAAGAACCAAAATAAAGAGAGACTGAAAATCACAAACATACATACATAGTCTCAATATGTTTCCTACTACAAATAATTGGAGGAAACAAGTGGTGCTGTGGCTTGTTCAAGCACTGCCCCCAGTTCCGGTTACTATCAGGCGAACATATTTAAGAGGACAGTGCCAGCACCTGAGTAGTGGCCCGCAGACTTGATCCAGTCATGTCTATAGTGCGGCTATGTGGGTCTTCATTCATCCCCCCTCTTACCCGATTGTTGGGCGAAACCAGCAGTTCCATGCACGAGACACAGAGGTTGGGTAATTTTTGGGGAATGGTAATGGCTTGGTGAAGAAGGTAAGAAAGGATCTTACCATTTATAAGGTGAAATGAGAATTGATGAACAATTTTTTTTTAATGGCGGCCACCGTCATACATATCACAGCTAAGATGTTATTAGGTTGTGATGAAAATGGAGTGGTGTATGACGGCAGCATGGTGGTCTACATATACATATTGGTACATGTATTAATGAGAAAAGGAGTAACAAATTTAAGATTGTCGTAAACGTGACAATACCAAATAACAAATAGAGAGGAAGATAAAGGAAGATCAGGCGGATAGTGTGTATGCATTTAAGTGCCAGTGGTGTGCATGAGCGTGTTTGACAGCAAGACAGCAAGCTGATGGGTCTGTATGAGGCCAATTTGTCCACTGGCTTGCCAGGCTTGGGGATCATTGAGACAACTGCACGCTTCCACAGGCTAGGAAAACAACCAAATCGAAGCGCACTATTGCAAATCAGAACCAGGTAGAACAATGCTGACTTTGGAAGCAGCTTGATTGTCCGATTGTCAATGTTGTCTAATCCGGGGGATTTCTTCAATTTCAGGTCCTTGATCTGTGTCTCTATCTCAGCCAATGTGATTGGTCTGAAGCTAGAGTTGGGTGTGGGGGGCTCCCTAAGATCCATAGACTCCTCAATTGATCGTCTCTCCTCATCCGAATTGGCTAGAAAAAATTGGCAAAGTCTGGAAAAAGGTATAAATTTAATTTAATTTTACTAAATATTTTGAAGTTTCATATACTTACTCGCAGGCAAATTCCTTTACACCCATGTGCGATTTTAGGTGTAACATGATATGCCATTTTAATTTTGACTTAAACCTGCACATCCATTCAAATGTGCAGTGGTACTCCTTGTCGATTATTTTAAATCCTGCCTCAATTTCGGTTCGGTCATTTTTGGTGATCCGAAGCGAATTGTCCCAGTAGGCCTTATCTTCGGCCTTATACAAATTTGAAATTTCCTCTGCCAGGCGAGTGATCAAAATAATTTTTGATCAACGCGGCCAGCTCCATTCGTCCGGTAGAGGAGAGTTCCTGCTCCTGCTCATTTGGAATGTTAGGGATAGTTCACTCTTCCTAGGACTATAATGTCCCGTATTCGAGGGCCAGCATCTAAAACTGGTTGTTTTAGTTCGACGATTGGCGAACCGATTCCAATTCCAACTCCTCGACGATTGGCGAATCCTCTATGGACCACTGTACTGCAGCCGATTCCAATTCCAACTCCTCCTCCAATACAGACAACAGGGGCTTATTAATTTGGGTTGACAATATGGCCAGCAGCGGCTGCAGCCTTCCCCACGTTTTTTCCTTGGGGCACTTTGGTTATGTTGAGTTTTCACGAATCACCAATTCGGTACAACACAATGTATTGCCCGAAATAATTAACAAAGAAATCTCTACACAGTGTAAATAACACTTGTGTAATTTTATCTAATTTTTACTATTAATTGTTTTAAAACTAATTAATAATTCCGCAGTTTTTTTTTTTGTTGAACCGTACGCTTGTAATCGCAATACGTAATGTCTTAACGTAACGCAGACCAGCTCCATCCTTGACCTGAACCAGCAGGTTCAGGGGAGCCAGTCTACGTCACGTTAAGAAGGATTTTATTGTTATACAATACTATACTTAGCATTATGAACAATTTATTGGGGCTTTTTTTATTGATGGCCAGGTGTTGCTCGGAAAGCCTTGGAGATGGATGCTGCAGCAGTGTAGATGTTGTTGAGAGCGTATGTAAGACATGAGCCGTTTTTGTTGTACTGATCGTAATTCCCCATTTTTTAGCCCATTTGGCAGCATCAGATAGCAGCTTCTCCATGTTGGTGATGCAGCTTTTTATGTTGTAAGCCGACGGGGCTTTATTGGGGCTAAGTAGACTGCATCGTCAGCGTATGTAGCAAACATATTGCAGCTGTATCTGGGTGGCTTTGGCATGTCGCTAGTGTACACATTGTACAGCACAGGTCCGAGAACACTGCCCTGTGGTACTCCAGCTGCAATGTTCATTGTGGAAGAGGTGACGCCGATGCAAACAACCCTGAAGGATCTGCCGGTTAGGTAGCTGGTGAGTATGCGGTGAAGGCTTTCCGGGATTAATCTCTTTAGTTTACAGAGGAGACCTTCGTGCCACACTCTGTCAAAAGCTTCCTGAACGTCCATATAAACTGCTGAACAGTGCATTTTCTTCTCGTGTGCCTGTAGGATGAACTGGGTGACTCTGCCAATTTGCTGTTCTGCTGAGTGCTGTTCACGAAAACCAAACTGATGGTTTGGAATAGAACTAGCAAAGCTGCTTACCTCAAACAATCGACCCAGTAGGAGGCGCTCGAGAAGCTTAGATAGCCCAGAGAGAAGACTGATTGGCCTGTAGGATGCCAGCTGATCCGGGGGTTTGCCTGGCTTCGGTATCATGGTGACCGTGGCAGTCTTCCATGCTTTTGGATAATGGCCAAATTTGAGAGCAGCATTAAAGATGAGCGTCAAGTAAGTGATGGCAGAGATCGGCAGTGCCTTTATCGCTCGATTGCAAATGCGATCAAGCCCAGGTGACTTTTTTGACTCGTTTTTTAATTTTCTTTCTAGCTCCAGATCGGAACGTAGTATGGCGTCAGAAAGGTATGACACTTAACTCTGATACTCCAACAGGGCTGGAGTAAAGAGTAAGGATACCATCACCTGACGTTCTATTTTTTTTTTTTGATTTAAGTGCCGGCAGTGCGTGCACATTTGGGCTGTTGATCGATGTGACCGTACAGCTTTTCTTTTATTTGTTCGCAATAAGAATATACTGCTTATACAAATATTACAAAAATACCGCATATCGCGGATGTATCACTCATGTATGGTGATTTACATAGTATTTTACATGGTAGTGGTTTTTTACAACACTGACAAAGCAGAAAAGTGGCAACACCCGTGCATTGTTTACATTTGGTAATTTTAACAATTAATACAATCAGTTTTAAACGCTAATTAATATTTGATTTACTTTTTAGCGGACGTGTCTTACGGTGCGCCCCCTTCCACCATTGGATTTGCAGGCGTCTAGGAGTTTGTAGTTGGCCCAGCATCGGATCCAGCAGTTGCGTCTCAGCAGAAACAGGTGGCCGCTCATACTTAGGTGTCGGCAAATGGCCAATTTGCAGCAGCCTTGTCTGCTGTAATAGCGCATTGGATTTTATCAGCGATCGTTGCCTCCGCCTCTCAGTTGTGCCAGAAACCTGAAAGTAAAGGTGAGCTGCTGGTCCAGCCGCCTGTGAGTAAGAATATGTATTTGTTGACATTTGTTTTTGTATTTTGCTTTAATTTCTTCTCTTTTATTTCAGATTTCTATGCAGAGGCTGCGCCGTAATTTTGTGTTTGTGTTTGGTTCCTTCCAGAGGAACATCAATGACAGTTCGAAAAATTCCAACCGGAACACCAAGCTTTCGCTGGGCGGTGGTGGAAGTTCGAGCTTCAGAGCTTTTATTTTGCTTTATACATTTACATTTGCATATTTTACAAAATTACATGGCGCCACTGTACTTTACATAGTGCAGTATGGGCAGAGCAATGACATGGTAACATTAAATACCTTAATAGCAAAGGACTATCGATAACAATCGTGGCAGTATACTTAATTATTTATAAGTTAATTGGTATTGGGTTTTTTTTTTGTTTTTTTTAATTTTAAGAGATCAGCTGTCCAGGAACTTTAGGAAACAGTTTACGTGAGGGTTTAGCATTCGCGTGTGTAGTTTCGACGATGCAACACCCAGCAGAGGTCATGCAGCATTTCACTGCAATTCAGCTCAGGCATCAGTGTGGCGCCGTCAGCGCGCGCGTTTGCAGAAGTGGGTCCAAACGCCTATGGCACATTCCGCGACTGTATGACGGTTCCAATTAAGTTGGAAAATGTCCACAGCCCGTCGCGCCACTGGCTGGGGTAGATTTGGGAATAGTCACGCTTCTGTCATCTGTGAAATGAGAATTAGATTGAGAAAAAGTGGTTAGTAGCCGGAACCGATGCCAATGGAGTCTCTGGATTGGTGCTTCTGTTCATCGCCTCTGGTATGTTGTCGTTGCTAGGTGCTATTTTGCGTGCGAAAAGGATTGGCGAGGTAGCTTTCGCGGCGAGCTTGCAGCGTTCTAATCTGGACACTATTCAGAGTGTTGTGGTTGTTGGTGTTGTGCTGTGCTAATATCGCAGAGTATCTTTGCCTAGATCGAGCTAGCCTCCTCGGAGTGTATGGCTGGAGCGACAAGACTCTGGCAAGGCGGTTACTATGTCTCGGCAGTCTTGCGTAGTAGCTTCCGCAGAGTTTTTGGCATGTGTCTTCCACAGTTTGAATCTGGAGATCGGCGTGGATAACGCTGTTACGGACATACCATGGAGCATTAACTATGCCACGCAGCGTTTTATTTTGAATGACCTGTATCTTTGCCATCTGTGAGGTCGAGGTCAGTGGCCCCCAGACAGGCAAGGCATATTGCCATACTGGGACTACCAGTTGTTTGAATAGCAGTACTTTGATGCGTAGTGGAAGCTTGCTGTTCCTGCCGATGAGCCAGTCAAGCGTGCGAATCCTACATCTGGCTTTTGTGACAACAGTTTGGATGTGTCCATTGAAGTTCAGCTTCCTGTCCAGACTGACTCCAAGGTAAGCGTGGGCAGGTTTGCTCTTGATGGGCACGCTTCCAAGTCTAGGAACCGTTGGAGTGGTACCTTGCTGAATTGCAGAGAGCGTATGCATTACATGGATGGTTTTGTTGGGATTTATGGTTATTCCCCATTTTTTGGACCAGTCTAGTGTGCGAGTTAGGAGCTGTTCCATGATTATATTGGCTTGTTCAATGGTACGAGCAGCTACCATATAGACCGCGTCGTCCGCATATGTTGCTATCATCTGGGCGTGAGTGGCGTTGCTGTGAGGCTGCGGCATGTCTGTGGTGTACAGGTTGTACAGCACGGGTACCAGGACACTGCCCTGCGGGACACCGGCAGCAACAGCCTTCTCGCTCGAGTAGATGCCTCCAGGGCAGACCACTCTGAAGGTCCTGTTGGAGAGGTAGCTGGTGAGTAGGAGGAAGAGTGGTGTAGGTACTAGATTCTTGAGCTTGTAAAGTAGACCCTGATGCCAAACTCTGTCGAAGGCCTCTTGGATGTCCATGTACACTGCTGATACTTGTAGTTGGTTCTCGTGACTTTTCAGCAGAGTGCTCACTCCTGAAGCCAAATTGGTGGTCTGGGATTGCTCCTTCAACAGAGTCTACTTCAAAGAGTCGTGTGAGTATGAGGCGCTCCAGCAGCTTGGAGAATCCTGCGAGTAAACTGATTGGCCGATAGGATTCCAATTGTTCAGGGGGCTTCCTTGGTTTTGGAATCATCGTGACCTTGGCGCATTTCCATGCAGCTGGAAAATGCCCAAATTAAAGAGAGGAATTGAAGATGATTGTTAGGTAGGTGATGGCGCTGTACAGGGGCGCTACTGTACAGCGCCAGGGGACTTGCAGCTGACCAGTTTGTTACCGATTGTATCAACGATCGTCGTTTTTGTTTAGCACATCTTCCAGCAGCCCTTTCAAGCGCAGCAGCAACAGCAACAGGCACGGCAGGCAGCACGCTCAAGTGCAGCATCTCTCCCTGGAAGGTTGTAGGCTCCATTTCATCGTGTCCCAGCAAGCCAACAGGGACCAGCAACACGTTTGCAGCATCGATGTCATCTGTTTTGCTAACAATTAATCTGCGTCTTTTTCCAGGTCCTGGATTATTAGCAGCCTCCGAATTTGATGCCGTTTGGAGGGCAGACGAGCTCGAGCCAGCAGCCGTGTGTACTGGACCCAGTACAGGAGCCTCATCAGCAGCAACAACAACAGGTACAGCAGGCAATTTGCCCACATGCAGCATCTCTCCCTGGAAGGTGGTAGGCTCCGCTTCGTCGCGCCCCAGCAAGCCAACAGGGGCCAGTAACACTTTTGTAGTATTGAGGCAGCGCATACACCACTTTCGGCAGCGGGAATCTCCTCTGCCAGCGTCTCAGCCGGCGCATTCATTCCAAAAGTAAACAAACCCTCGGCCCCGTCAGCAGTTCACTAATCAGGGGGGGGAGGGGAGTAGGGTATAATTCAAGTATAAGTGGCTTAAAAACTTTACAAATATATATATGTGGTTATATATGTCTTAATAATAGGTATTAATAATAGTGATATATGTAGATACCAAATCGTGGTAGTCAATACCTTCATTATCCGTGCTAGAAGCACTTGAGTTAGCATTCTCTTCTTTCTTCTTGGTTGTTTTCGATTTTGGACCCGGTTTACGTCCCATTTCGACACTTCCTTCCTTCAGGGGCAAGGGGGGATAAGCAGCAGCGGCTGCGGCCACCCCACGTTTCTTTCTTGAGGCACTTTGATTAAGTTGAATTTTCAATTCGGCACAGCACACTGTATTGCCCGAAAAAATTGTCCGATAGTATCTCGAAGAAGTTGTTAGAACTGGGGGCCGACTGATAGTGGCCGCTTTCTTCGCGGTTGGCTTTACTATAGCAGATCCCTGGCTTCCCCTTTCTAGCCTCAGTTTGGCGCTGAGCTGCAGTTCCACTGCGTTCTTAGCCTGCTGCTCTTTAAGCAGCTCCGTAAGTGTAGCCTGTCTCACACTCTTAGCACTTGTTCTCATTACAGACCCAGCTGCAGCGCCAGCAGAATTAATACAATTAGGCAGGCAGGCAGACCTACGAATCATAGGATGCACGGATGGTATACTTACCGGGCATTTTGTCCCACACCGGAGAGCAAGGCTCGATCAACGGCACAGGGAGATACACACATATTTTTAATTACGCTACCTTCAATATCCGAAGAGTTGGCACTTGAGGAATCATCAGACTTCCTTTTCGATTTCGGGCCGGGCTTCCGGATGGCTTAGCAATAGAGGATCCCTGTATAGCAGAACGCTTCCCTTCTGCTTTCTCCTCAGTGCTTGTGCACCACGGATCTGATGTTTGCACACAGGTAAATTAGGAGTGGGTTGCCTTTTGATGAAGCTAGTGAGTCGCCATAGTTTCTTCATGCTGTAGCGATCAGCTGGGTCGATGTTGCGCAGTGTGCTCTCCATCCGCCTGGCCTTGAGCATCTTAATCCGTTTGCTGATCCGATTTTTCAGCTTCCGGCATCAGACTCCCCTCGGAGTTTGGCGCTGAGCTGCAGTTCGACTGCATGTTTAGACTGCTGCTCCTTAAGCAGCTGCGTCAATGTAGTCTCTCTCAGACTTGGATGCAGCGGAATTAATTGCTCCATGGGCAGCATCATCTGCTGCTCAAGCCTGGCTGCCGCAGGGGTCATCGATGGCATCCACTCCTGCCTCAAGGGAGCAGGCTGGGAGTGCGTCTGAGCAAGTCCTGCATTGAGCACGCTGGCATAGCTGCTCATCTGTACTGGGGGAGCTGAAACTCTGGCGTCAGACCGCGCTCTTCGGTGGCTAGGCTGTGGCATCTCTGGAAAACCCTGCTGGCTAATTACGGGTGGCCGGTGAGGGCGACGCAAGCCCTGAGCGGCTGGTAAGGTAGGCATCTGAAGTTTACCTAGCATTTTATTGTTTTTTTCTAACCCTTTGTTTCTTTTATTGCAGTACTCCTAGTACTTTGTACATCCACGGTAGTTTGACACGTGTGGGCCCCCACAATTGGCGCACTTCGGCACGTCTTTCCGCTTCTTGGGGCAGTCTTTGGGGTCATGCTTCTCCCCACATTTAAGATAGATGACTGCACGGCTGCAATAATTCTTGTGTGCCCAAACTGCTGGCACTTATGGCATTGGGGCACGCCGGGGGACCGTATTGGCTTCTCAACTTTAACCTTCTGGCTGCAAATCGCCGTGAGTTCGAAAATGGCATTGTTGTTGGCTTGAGGCTCCAGCTCCACCTCGAAAAGGTCCAGCGGCTCCTTGGTGAACCGCTTTAAAATCAACGCGATATGACTTACCCTATGGCCAAGCTTGCCAAGCTGCTCGCGTACCCAGTCTGTAAAGTAAAGTGTAAAGTCTGTAAAGCTGCTCGCGATGTAAATGCCTAATTACGACCTTCACGCCTTTGTCACACCTTAGGCGGAACGTGTGATAGTCCACGCCGTGACCCTCGGGATCCTTATTATTTAACATAGTTACTAAGGTCCTATGCCCTGAAATCGTGTGGCACATAACTTTAAGACACCCATTGCCAGTAGGCTTAGTATCATCAGTGCCAGCGCCAATGGCAGCATCAATACCCTGTAGAATACACCTTCTATCTCCCTAACATTGGGGATGTAAATAGGGGCTGGCCGCTCAATTGTGGCGTCAGCAGTAGCAGCAGGAGCAGGAGCATGCGCTGGAGTAGGGGCAGGCGGGGGAGTGCTAATGGCTGCTGGGGGCCTGAATGTCGCTT